AATTTCTCCCTTATGTCTTATATTTATTTCTTCGGAGCAAATGTTCAATTTAAAATTGAGGATTTAGCTATTCTCACTAAATATTTGTATCTTCGCAGATCGACTTACACATTATTCTAAAACTGAGAAGTCTCTCTTTCATATTTTCTATTTCTATTGCCTCTAATACATATTATTTTATTTTATTTGGTTTTTGTCGTAACTTTACAGATTCGAGATTATTGGCTTAGCATGAGCTACCACTGCTACTATTCAATGAATACCATAAACACGTACGGTTTACGGTATTCAACGATGTTTTAGTGTACGATAAATTTCTCGATAGGACAATTTAATTGAAGGAAGCTTCAGTAAACCATTCACGCGTTTCTCGATGCACGATCGAGCAATATGGCGGTGTATCGTCGCATGCGGTTTGAAAGTGTTAATGATATTTATCTACCTTCTATATCTTGCGCCAGAAAGTGCTAAAAGTTTCTTTTCGAAGAGGGTTCGCCTAATACCTCTCCCTAATACCTCACCTTGAATCACTACTTTCATCTATTCTTCGCGTTCCATAAATTTCAATCGCTAAAGCTTCCGGAGTTTAATAATTATCAATGGGATGATCTGTACTTCAACTTTGTACTTTATCGTAGATGGAAATGTTTTTGTTATTCGCAGAAATATTTTCTAGATCATTCACGTACTCTATAAAAGTTATTTCTTCAATTAGAACTGTCATATCGATGATTGTGTAAAAATCTTGTGAATTACAACATATAATATCAATCGGTGTGTCATATGATATATTATAACTACAGACGTGCGAGAATCCAAAAATGTCGAGAGTTCGATGACAGGTTTCAGAATTCGAGAAATAAAAAAAAAAAAAATCAGAAAATTCTCAGGAAAGTCAGTATTCTCGAAATTTTTGCGATTCCTGAGAATTATAAAATCAGGAAGGATCGAATAAGGGATAAACTTGTAAGGATAGAATTATATTTGCGATTTATTTTGAACTTTCGTATAAAGAAGCCAATTTTTTCAACAACTGACAGCAATCCCGAAATTCTCGTATTGTGTGATATTTTTCTCGCGCATTCTCTAATTGCAACATATAATATAGAATAAGAGAACTTCCGGGGAGATTCATTTTATCCCCCTCCTAGAGTTCGATATGCGTAATACATATACACTCTACTAATTCTAAAGTTTCCAAAGTTTCATCATTTCTTGAATTTCCGAATTGTGGATCTGTTTCCACATTTTAACACGGATGAGACGTTGCAATGTCCGATTTAAGGCTTTCGGGGGAAAGCGATCCCGATGCCTATAAATCCATCGATCACCTCTGTGGGAACGATCATGTACAGCGAGTTCGCCGGAACTATAGGCATCTCGCGAGATGCAAGAAACGCGAATCGATGCAATCAGGCACTGCAGGAAACTTTGCAGCGTGCGGACACGCGGCGAGTCGTGTCGCTACGCGGAGAAAATGAAAACCGCCGACCGCGGATGTAAATAAATCAGAGCAAACACAGAGCAGCAGATACAGAAAGCCGGCTAGAGACAGAGTAGAGTAGAAACCGACACACAGAGCTCGGAAGAAACCGCGGCGCGATTCTCGACTGAGAAAGAAAGGAACACTGAGAGACAGAGAGAGAGAGAGAGAGAAGTATAACAAAGAGAGTAAAGGCTCTCTTGGTACACGGAGAACGACGATTAACAACGACGCGAATAACGGAGAACGTACGAAAGTGGAAAGGAGAGTGGAAGAGAAGAGAAGGAAGGAGATAAAGGACGAGGATGGTCAGATGGACGGGGGTGGAATCTGGCGAAATAATGTGCGCGAGATTGCTTGTAACCCGAGGACCATGCGAGGGTAACCCAATCTTTTTCTCTTTCTCCCCCTTTGCTCTTTGCATGCCGCGAGGATGAAGCTGAGAAGTCTCGTCCCGAGGGTCTTCCAGAGACCTTGTATATGTGTGTGTGTGTGTGTGTACAGCGCCTTGGTTAGCAGAATACACTTGAGAGGCTGAGCAAATACGATTACTTATTCAGGATGAATCGATGACGAGCTACCGAGCATACGTCCACGCCTGATTGGCAGTAACAATCGAGCATGCAATTGCACGGTGTGCAGCGCTAGAACTATCGTGTTTGCGTTGGTCACGGTTTCTTTTTTTTTTTTTTTTCTACGTCTATTTCGGAACAAAAACGAATGCCGCAGGAATGAAAATTCGTGTTGAAAGTCACGTCGAGATCGATATATGACTTTGAAAAACTCTTATCTATTCTTTATTGACACTATTTTCGATTAGATATTTTCAAAGAAGTTCTCTTTGAATTAATTGAATTGCTATAATATCAGAAGTTACAAAAAATGGCCTACGTAGGCAAGAGCCAATTAATATTAATAAAAATCGCGAAAAAATTTCTTTGTTTACCTCAGTTTTTGGCGGCAGTCCTCCACCGTGAGGTCCAAGGGTTGCCGAGGCGGTGGAATGGGGTGGCACGCCGGGATATAATTGCGAGTGTGGCGACAATCCGTGAGCATGGGGGTGTGGGTGAGGTGGAGGTGGTGGTGGCGCAGTAGGTTGCAGAGGATGGGCATGGGGCAGAAGAGCCGCAGCAGCTGCGCTCCTCAAAAGATGCGCCTGAAGCTGTTGCAGGTGTGGTGCCATCCCTGGATGCATTCCCAAAGCCGGACTCATTGCTACAACACAGAGGAAAATAATGAAAAAGATTAACACATCAAATTGAAGGTAAACAAATTTAAACGATGAAAAATAATAGAAAAAGAAAATAGAATGATGCTTAAAAATATATAGCTATCTGATACAAGAATGATACGTTCGTGTGCATTGTATCCTCAGTAAACGTTCACGGTTTTATAAATAAAGAAATACAGTGATCTTCGAGTAAAAAGTACAGTGAGTGAGTGTGACAAAAAAAAAAATTTGTTTCTGTCATGAATTTTGTATATCTTTTAATTCCTTTTCTGAAATTATTATTTATCAAAAGTATTTATTGCAACTCCTTTTCTTCTCAGTAATTTCAATTTGAATCGAGCTTTATAATTAGTTTTGTAATAATAAACTATTTACAACGATCATCAGTTTCCAGAATTTAAAATTATTTATTAAACTTATTTAAATATTATTTATAATATCGTAATATTTAAATATTATAGTACATAGCCTATTTCAAATCTCCCAGAAATCTATAAAAACTTACAATCTATTAGTAACCCTACCTCTTTTGTAATTAAACGAAACTCTGCTCATAATTAATATGCAATAATATTTCTACTAATGGTATCCACAGTTCATATAAACGTTTTTCTCAAATCCTAATGCGCGATATCTATCCCCCTTGTGCCGAAGAGGAAAGAACACAGAATGCAGCCTACACGATCACCGGTGCACACAGGCGCATAGTTTCGTAAGATAGGCTGGCAACATTGAAATGCAAGCTTGGCCTACGTGCCGGAAGTCCGGCGTGGCGTGCCTCGACTGTCGAGAGAATGGACGCGGTCCGATTTCGATCTCTATCGATTATCCCCTCGTGGTGTATCACCACCCTCGTCCACTGAATTCGCGTTAACTATTTAACCAACGTTGTACCAACGACACCGCCCGCCATCGTTATCGCCCAGTGAAATCAGCGTCTGGCTGTACGAATAATTCGCTGTTCCACCAACAGTTTCCCCTCCCCCCTCTTTCCTTCTTTCTCGTCGCGTTTGTTACGTTTGGTATCGGCTTTCGGAGTTTCTACAACGAGCCAGCTGGATTTCCATGCAATTAATTATCAAGAATGCGCGCTCGTTGGATCGAGCATGCGCCGATATGTGAATTTAATGCGAAACGACGCTGCGTAAGTATCGATCTTGTTTGAGAGTTTCGAGTTTGTTGTAATTGGGCGTAACGAGTTCGGTCGGTCGGGTTATCGATGATTTTCGTGTTGTGTGATTTATTTAGCCGGGGATGCCGGAGGAATGTTCCCGTTGATTTAAGACAGTGAAATTGATTGCTGTTCGTTTGAAGCCTATATTAAATATTGACGAAGTAATAGAAAGAAATATTCTGTGAAATCGATGGATTCTATACAGCGACGAATAAGTGTGTCTTCGATTTTCATTCCTTCAAGACCCGAAGCTTTTTTTGAATTGCCAATTCTACGAAACACTCTAACTTTTTAGTTATTCCAATAATGCTAATAAATTTTCTTTAAAATAAACAACAACAAAAAAAAAAGAAAGAAAAAAATAAAATCTCATGACAATATCAATCAAACGGTATCCAAACGTATGTGTCGTATTATAATATACACATTTATAGCCACCTGATACTTACATCGTTCGACCGAAAATACCTTCTGAACGATGATGCCGATGCTGTCAAATTTGAAGTCTGCTTATACAGCGTAAATGGGTTGGGACGCGATTTAATCGGCGACTGGTTACACGATGAAATATTAACGATACGCACGGTTACCAGAGCGAGTGAGCTCGATAAATTGCCACGGCTAAATTAAACAGCGTTCGATATGGCGATGTCGGTGCGTTACGTGACGAGACTTGCAGATCAGGCTTCCTTCTAATCAAAGTCTCGATTGACAGGCTCCCTGCCGCTGCTCTGTAAATTAGGCCTCGCCGATATCTATGTACGACCGGCGTGTACAGTAAACGGGGGCTACATTCGATGTTCGAACGAACGATCGCGATCATTTTTTCGCAAAACGAATTCGATCTTTCGTTCGATTTTTACATTTAGAATGTGATAAAAATATTTCCCCCTTAATTAAATGCTTGCTTGATGATCTCTATTTGTTTTTTTTCGGATAGTCAATGATACTCGACTGCAATTCCTTTTGTCTAATTATTTTACTCTCTTTTTTTTATAAAACGTGGAAAATCTCGAGATATTCTCGTCTGTTATTTTCCAGAGTATAAGTTTGCTCTCTCAACTTCACGAACAAACGTAACACAACATCGGTAAATACTTGGCTAATGATCCCTCTACTTTCTCCCTGTTTCACAAATAATCTCATCTCACTGTCAGTTGCAACATTAGTTACCATTCTCCTCTTTTGCAAGATATCTTTTGCCGATGAAAAGCTTACGCAAGCGTGCAGAAATTGTTGAGAATCTTCGTTCGGAGAATCACCTTTCAAGCCTTTCCGCGCAGGATTAACGATCACACAACGATCGATGCCACGGTGCCATCGCGAACGCTTAGGCGATCGGTCACGCCCATGGCGGTGGTGTCTACGATTCTAGGCGGTGTGCTTCGTAAAAGTGAGCACGTTGCCGCCACACGAATGCCTAACGATTTCACGATGACTCGTATTTAAAATAACGACGGACACTTGTCGCGTCTTCCTTCTTCTTCTCTTTCTTTCTTTTTTTTTTTTTTTTTAATTAACCATGCTTAATCGAATTTAAGATTCTCCATCAACCATAATATAAAATGATCGTTTTCCCGTGAAACGAACCATTTATTCGAGTTCGGTGTATCATTTACAGTGATTACGCGACGTTTCCGGAATTTATAATGGGCGAACACAGTAGGAGCAAAATGTTCCTTTGCATCCTAAATTAATCACTGGTTCCTGCCATAAAGTAGCAAGAGATTGGTAATGCAGACAGCTGCGTGAAGTGATTATGATCTTTCCAGGAATTTCTTCTTCTTTTTAATCCCAGTGTCCAATGAAATTTGAATGGCTGCAGTATAACTGACTGTACAAAGGTAGCATAATCAATTGATTTTGTAAATGAAATCTGGAATGAAAGGATTAATGTAATATGTACTATCTCATTTATATAATATGAAATTAAAATTTTAATAAAAATGTTAAAATCTTTTTATGGGACGACAAGACCCTATAGAATTTTATATTGTTTTGTTTTAATACTTGATATTAAATTCAGGTCAATATTTGATTGGGAGGATCTTCTTCACCGGGGGGAGGGATTGATATTGCATCGACAGGTTGGCTGTTGGTGGTGAAGAAAGAAAAGCAAGGAGTCATTGTTGTGTTACATCGTTTGCTACATTATTTTTTATTTTAATACCGTAGAATTAATATCTGAATTAATTTATCGGTAAGAAGATCGCGTTTGAATGATAACAGGATAGTTCTCTTATTACGAAGAAATTTCATTCTCGAAATTTTTGACGAGAATTACGTGTACACATAGCCGAAAATTTAATTAATAAAAAATCTTAGCATTTTTATTATCATATGTATATCGTAATCCGAGCATTAAACATCTAACCTGTGTTATCCAGATCTCTCCGCTTTATTTTATTTTAACAGAAATAATTGGAAATAAGTTACGTAGTAATCGCAATTTTTTTTTTTTTTGTACGTATAATGATAGTTCTTCTTTGTGAATTATTAATATAGATAATGGGGATGCATTTATCCTGACGTTTCTCTAAATTACGATCTAACACTCTGTAATAATCTTAACAAATATATTTGTATTTTAATTAATAATATATTATCTAGTCAGAGTGCAAACGTGTACATATAACGTCAAGAATTAATTATCAATATCAAATAAATAGTATAAAACTATTTTACTATGTTTACAAGAATTTCTAACGGCTGTAGATATTTACACTATGATCAATAAGCAAAATCGCGAGATTAACAGCAAAACAGGAAAATCCCTCAAGGCATCGCCAAGCAGAGCTTTACGTCTCATTCTTAGAACGTTCAACAAGCAGGTAAAAATAGTGGCGTTTTACGCGTGAGACTGTAAAACGTTTGTCGGGTTGTATTTTCTCGTTGTGAGCATTGATCGCTCGTCGCGATTCCAACGAGCGTAAAACGCGAAGGAACGCGCGGGACCGCACGCCTACGATGCTTTATTTAAGAACACTATAATTTCGTGGAATCGGCCGTGGGTCGTCGTGGTAACCGGTTGTCTACTCGTACGCCGAACGATAATCGCTTAATCACCTCGGCGATGTTCCCTCTATGCGACGCCGACAGCGAGATCGGCTATGAAAAATTTCATAAAACACATGTCGTGTTAAAACATTCGCTCTGGCTGGGGACAGGGGATCAGCGTCGGGAAATCTCGAGTTTACGATCGGACGTACCGCGAATACAAGCGCCGGTAGTTCAGACGCGAGTAAACAACGATTTATTGTTCGTTTTTTACTTGGAATCTTCCATTTTCCTCTCTCTTCGACGAAACTTTCACAACATAATTTTTCGCGATTGAAATAATTTTCCACGTTGAAGGACATTTCAACGGCAAACAGATTTATTACAATTCTTCCTTTCAATAAATCTTTAATATTTTCATACTTCAATAGAAATTGTATTTTACTAAACCAAAGAACCTTTGAAAGGTAAAGAAATCTCATCGATTGCAAGGAATACACTCCGATGCACAACTTCTTTATTAACGCATCATTTATTAAAAACAAATACTTCCAACTCTTCATTTTCCCACAAGAAATCACACAAAAGTACGCTCGCGATGCGACAAATGTGCAAGAGCTAATGACTAAAACACGCCTCCCCCTCCCCCTTCCGACTCATTGATCCGGCCATACAAAAAAAATTCCCGAATTGCCTGGAACTCCGTTCCTCCTTCTCACTCGCCATACACACGCGCAGAATTTACTTGTCCCCGCAGAAACGTCGCCGGGAGAGGAAAAAGGCAGGAATCTGCGATCGGTAGCGTACGATGGCGACTTTAACGAGCGTTGGCAGCATCCTGCCGGGCATCGTACCACGCCAGCCTGACAAACGACCGGGTTGATCGCGCGTCGCTTGAATTTTAATCCGTTAATTACTTCATTTAATCGCAAATTACCGGCTGCCCTCGACTCGCGAGCAAGGAGGTCCGCAGACCGATTTGTGGGACGCGCCGCGGTTGCAACCGGCCTTATAATGGCTTCATGCGCACCGCCACTTTAATTCGATGCCCCTAACCCTAACCCCCTGCTCCCCCTCTTACGCCTTTTTCTTTTCTCTCTCTCTCTCTCTC